GAAGAGCATCCGAGCATGCGGCTCACCTGATGGTAAGTGACTACCGCCGCCCATGAACAACCGCAACACCAGGGGAATTGCCGGCCTTTTGGAAAGATGTAAGCTCTTTTCTTGAAGGTCCCTAAGTCGTAGCGGTCCGGAAAAAATCGCCGATGATAAACAATTCCACAGAGAAGTTGTACGAGGAAGAAAACGCACAGTCGTAGACCGCCAAGCATTAAGATGGTGAGAATGGTACCGTGAATTTTTACGCGATGTGCGCTCGTGAAATTTTGCTGCTGGAATTAATCCAACAATTCCTCAGAGCACTCCCCGTGGTAAATTCGATAGAAAATGCAAAGGGATGCAACATCCCTAAGCAGTGCCAGTGTATCAGAAAGAACTCGGTCGTCGACGATTCGAATCGCTCTGCGCTGGATGCGGTCAAGTGGAAGGAGCTGGCACTGGGGTGCCCCGACCCAGAGATGAAAACAGTATTCCATGTGAGGCCGGACTTGCGCTTTGTAAAATTGCAAGCGATGTGCCGGCATAAAATACAGTCTCGCTTTGTTGAGCACACCTAGCTTTTTAGAAGCCAATTTGGCCCTCCCTTCCAAGTGACCACGAAACTGCACTTTATTCGATATGTCGCCGCCGAGGATTCCGATGCTAGCTGAGGTAGCAAGGGGAGTGCCTTGAAACTGAGGAGATACGACAAAGGGTTTCTTTTTAGCGGTAAACGCGCAAACCTGTGTCTTCTGGGGAATGAACTGGACTAGATTTAGTCGCCCCCAATCCGAGACTTTGTTCAGCAAAGACTCGACTTCAGACACAAGTTTTTTACATTGCATTGCCAAAGGTAAAAATAAATATGTTATTTTATTTTAAGAGTTTATTTAATAAAATGTATGTAAGGCAAAGGCCAAGTTAAAAAAACGGCGTAATTAAATGTAAGGTTAGTAGTAAAAGTTTATTAGGACTGATTTGAGCACATTTTAACATATTTTAAACTTAAGCAAATGTTTATTATTACATTGTGTGATTGCTTATTAAATAACAATATGAATAAATAAAATAAACAATCAACAATGTATTGCGAGGAAGAAATCTCGTTTTATTTATTATTACCGCAAACGCGATTAAAACAATATAACAAAGTTATTTTAGCGACTTTCCGGTAATTTGCGCAAAGTAATTGTGACTTTAAGGTAAAAATGGTCACTTGGGTGTTACGTAACGTTTAGGGGGGAGGGGGGGGGGTCTAGATAAACGTTACGGCGCGTTACATAGGGGGGTGGGAGGGTCAAAAATCTTCAAAAACTGCGTTACGTAATACTTGAACGGTCCCTAACCGGCGAGGCGAACTATCGCCAAGGAGCGCCGCTGGTGCTGCTCATGTTTGGAAGGGCACCTCCAGCGAGACTGTCCGCATCGGCGGCCCTGTCTGCATTGCCAGGGCAATCATCATGCAGTTTTGTGCCTGGGTGCGAACGGCGTCTCCTCTCGGGGCTCTGCCAGGCCCTCGACCCCCACGGGCGGGGGCGCTCAGCCACGCCCTCTGCCGGGCGACTCTCAGCGCCCGCCTGCCAGCCACCAGGCCCCTAAGTTTGAAAGGGGTCCCTCCCCCGACCAGTCGGGGGGTAATTCCCCCAGGGGCGGGGGTGTCATCACCCCCCCTCAGCGCGTGGAGAGGAACTTCACGGCCACTCATCGGTCCGCTGGACCCTTCTCACTCCCGTTAGCTGAGTGGCCGCGACTGGTGTACCACTGTTCCCCATTTGATGGAGGCGGCCCTGGCTAGCTGCCGCCTTAGCTCCCACTACGGCCGCCTCCACTGAGCCTTAAGCCGTCAACAGTCCACTTGTCAAAATGTTCTGTTGCCGACGGCCTCAGTGAAGGGCCGTGCGCGGCCGGGCCTGGAGCGTTGAATCATGCTGTCAAGGGGTATTAGATTTGGTTTGGTCGAGCACTTAGTTAAAATTCTTTAAATTAAAATTAAAAATGCTTTTGGGTTTTCCGCGAAATTTCCATATTTGTAGCGGTTGTGATTAAAAAAATTGAATTTAATCTACTCCTTTAAATGCTGATGCATATGTTTTGTATATATATTTAATCATTGTGTTTGATTGTGGCGCCTGGTTGCTGAAAAGAAAGTTTGAATTCATTTGAAATTGAATGTCGCGCTATTTGGAAAATTATGTATATGTTTTGTGATAGTGTTTAATCATTTTGCTTTGTGAAAAGGATGGCTGAAATTAGATAACCCTATTTGTGCCGAAGTAAATAAAAGCCAATTCTCTTTTGGTTTACATTTTGTTGGCACTGTCTAAGTTATTTAAATGAGAAATAGGGCTGTCCCTTACGTTTGTTTTGTTTAATTTGCAAGTTGACCTATGTGCATCGGTGATTAATTTGGTTGAATTAATTCTGTAGTTGAACATTGATGCTTTTGAAAAATTAGTTGAAATATGAGCATAGGACTACTTGTCTAACAGGCTAGCTAGTTTTGGAGATTATCAGATTGAAATCAGCTGCCGCACTATTTAGCAAATGATTATATGGTGGATGGATGGCTTGGTTAGGCATACTTGTTGAAAATTCATACTAGGGACTATCTGTGCGTTTCGTTCGGCTCTCCACAGACGACGTTCATGTGGAATTGTGGGTGCTCTCTAGACTGAAGCTTAGGAGGCCACTCTGGGCCGCTTCGTGTCGCGGCGCTGTTTGCAGACCTGATCCGGTCGGATTGCGGAACTAATCATAGGAGCACAGATAGGTGTTTGAAGGAGGTCGTCGGACTTCTGTCTAGGAATAGGATTTATTTATAGGCTGCGATGTCCAGGAAGGGCATCCAGTTCAACTCTCCGGCTTGCAAGACCTGATGAGGCACCTAAGGTGGCCTAGTTTGGTTGTAGATTCGGTCTTGTAACTTGTCGTCGCGACCTTGTCCCGCTGACCGGTTTGCTCGCGGACCTAAGTCCTTATGTCCGGGACGGCGGTTTGTTCGCGCCAAACGCTAATTTCAAGAATTAACGCGAGAGGGCGCTCGGCGTGGTGCATTCATACCGGTTTCGGTCGTACGTAGAACGCGCAAGCGCAGCAGTCGTTTGTCAGCTGTGCTTGGGACAGCACGCTGTCATTTTGTCGGGAACTCGGAATAATTAGGCGCGGCCAGTAAATATACGGTCTATGATTTGTGACGCGCATTCCTGCTGGAGAGCTTCCCAGGGACTCATTGTGTCTGACTCAGAATCTGCATAAGTGTATTCGGCAATATTAGCTAGTGCGGCCTTTGATATTCTAGAAATAACTGTTGCTACGCGAAACGGTAGTGACCTTTGATCCGGACACTCCGTGTGCGTTTTGTGCGTTAACCTTATACCCAACGAGAGTTAGTGGCTTCTGTAAGTTAGTTAATCGTACGATAGAGTTAATTGACTGTCATCGTGACGAACGAGGAAAGTGACTGTGGACAACGCCGCGGAAGGTTCCCTCAATTTGGAGCGGTGTCGACGCCCGGGCTGCTGCCGACGGCCAAGGTCTAGGGTCAATCACCATCAGTCACACCCAGATACACATCACATCACCTTATTTCCCTTGCACTACACAACCACATGCGACCTGACCGACTTCGGAGGGACCAGTCGCCTTGGATATAGGTAAGTAAGCTCCGTCTAATATCCTCCCGGTCGACTGGCCGTAGTATAGAACGCTCTCCCATATAGTTTAGTGTAATTAGAGATTTTCCACTTTGGCCTGGAGGAGGCCCGACCTACGTCTGCTCGTCGAAACTCAGTTGAATGGGTCCCTGAGGATTTGCCTTTAAGGGAGCAGCCGTAGGCCGTAACATCTTCTGAAATGGCTCAACCGATTTGTATGAAATTTTGTGTGCACATGGGGTAGGTCTGAGAATCAGCCAACGTCTCTTTTTCAAACCCCTAAATGATAAGTGTGACCACCCCTAAATATTTTTTTATTCTTTTGACAAATTTTTTTCTTTTTATTTTATTATGATTTAGCATTGAAAATACATAAAACTTCAAATGTTCACCCTTCTATGATCAACTCCTGTTTTTTAATCGCGATTTTTAAGACTAAAAAATATTTCCTAGAAATAATGTATATGGCAAAACAACGTTTGCCGGGTCAGCTAGTATCTCATATAAATTTGATCAAGATCTGACCAGTAGTTTTTGGTGTTATCCTAAAAAAAAAGTGTATTAATATTGAACTCGGTTGTACAAAATTTTTTATTTCATTACTTGTCTCTCTTCCGCTTTTTTTAAAAACGTTACCTCCACACTAGGATTTTCTCCTATATCGCGAGGGCAGTTTACATACATAGAACAGACTCAGGGGTCTACTTACACTGAACGATGTTTAATGTCACTGGCATTATACGCGAAAATATCGAAAACTGCGAAGCTGTGGCCGGGTCGCTAATCAGGTAATAAATCTGTAACTATGACGTCAGTAACTAGGTACCTAATTATTTAGTGTAGTCTATCTAGTACCTATAAATAATAATGTCTTACCTTCCGGTATCCTTAGGAACAGTAAAGAATTAAAAGTTGAAATTCCTGTTGTCATTTAAGCACTTGTAGGCCATACTTGAATAAAAACTCAAAAATAAATATCAAATGCAAATATTTTTTTGTTAACGTAAAGCGCGCGTCAGCTCGAGCGCGCGTCAGCTCGAGCGCGCGCCTAACAACTTCACGGACTAGCCTCATGAGGGCGGCCGCACAGCGTAGGTATATTTTCATGCTCAAAACGCGGAGTGAGACAGGTCTGGTTTAACGACCAAAATGGCAATATAAAAAGGTATTTTTGTACTGATATTGTTAGCAACGACGAGGCAGAGCCTTCTTTTTCTTGACGTAGTTTCTAGTAGAAAATTGATTCGTTTTTTTTTGATAGTGCATTTTTTTGTTTGTTTTGAATAAACTTATATTATTAGTCATTACTGAGTTATTAGTACGCGCAAAGTCAGCGAAGAAAAAACCTTGATGAGATCTTACTTGATAGTAATTATAGTAGTTGTGTGAGTCAGTCTGGTCCTGGATGGGCACGGTGATGAGGTTGGTGCGCGCGGGCCGGCGCTCGGGCGCGGCGTGCGCGCTGTGCGCCGCGTGCGCGCCGTGCCCCAGCGAGTGCGCGCGCGGGTCGCCCGCTGACGGGATCTGTCATATTATAACATATTTTTATAAATCATTTCTCGCAGAATACCAGCGTAAAATAGCAGCTTCATGCTGCTGTGTTTCGTATGGTGTGTGTAGAAAACCGAAGACCATTTTTACTGGAAAAGAGGCATTCCATCCTAGTCCTCATGGGTGGCGGCATATCTGCATTTTGATTCGCAAACGAGGATAGCTGTAAATGTCTATGGGCCTCGGCAATCACTTGCCATCAGAAAGAATGTGTGCTCGTTTGTCACCCTATCCTATTAAAATTCTATTAATACATCCTATCTATACTCGCACTAACTTACTGCGAGAGTCACACTTACAACGCGAGCGTTTCGAATATTAAACCTGATTGACAGAGAAACATTAATTCTTTTGCAATCTGAACGAATGAGAGCATCCACAACTTTTTCTGCAACCAGGGCGGCGCCACTTAAAAATGAAGTATAATATTTGGCAGATTTCATAGCAGGGAAGTTAATTTGTGCGCAAAATGTAAAGGTTTCTTTCTGTACTATTAGCTATATTTTATATTAATAAGATTAAATATAAAGAAACCTAACAACTGATATTCATAAAAATAGAAAAAGTTAAAAATGTGTAAAAAATTAAAGAGCAAACCAATGACGCATTGTTTTGTGTATTAATATTGTACACGCCCTGAGCTGCCCCAACAAAGGTAGACTGAACTAGGGCCCATCAGTAGTCCAATCGACGGACAGCAGAGGACGGGACCCAAATGCCTATGGAGACATCATTCTACACAATAGATATAAGGCTAGGTAAACAAATAGTACGTACCTGGTTCCAAAGCTAAAACTGCCCCAAGGCTCGGTCAGGCGGTAGGTAGGTGTAGGTGCATATAAGTGGTGTATAGTAGTGTTTATATATGTGCCCTGACCTAACTGAGGTGATCGGGCAGCAGCCTGGTCCGATGCTGCCCCACAATGTGATTTCACTCCAGCGGACGTCACCAATTGACAACTTCTTTCTTCATCTCACTATTTCAGTCTATCAACTTTTTTTGTACACTATTTCAATCTATCAACTTTATTGTACATTTAACTAATCAAACTCAACTAAATCCCCGTTGATCGTAATCAAAAACGTAACACACGGCACAACTAATGAACGGTGGATCAAAGTTCACTTCCGTTTTCAATCAGCAACAAATTATTTCTAGAACCGAACACGACCTTCTCTAGCATCACAAAGTTCCACGTTACAAACAACAAACTAAATTCCTTCGTACGATATTAAATACTACGCCCGCATTAATACTCAAAATCCGCCTAGCTGACACGCAAACTAACTACATAGTCAACACACAAAAGGCACTTAACGCGACGTCACAAATCAACTTTAACTTCCAAAAACAATTAACTGGGCCACGCCCTCGAAATGGAATGCGAGCTTCAAATTCCAGACCGTATGTCAGATAGATAAGTTAGATATTGCAAGATGCACTTCAACACGCAATCACTATACAATTGACGCAATAACTTTCAAACGAAATTACTTTAATCAGTCAAATTCAATACAAGCCTCTTGTCACGAACGTACAACTTAGACAAACTAATTCGAGGCGGTCTTCACGAAACCCCAAATTCAATAGCAAATTAAATGCGCACAAATACTCAACTTCTAGACCCCAAAAAACGGGTCGCGCGAAACCGATGTAGCGGTCACAAAAATTCGCTACTCGACAGCGCCGCTGCTGTCAAGCCACTGTCTCTCGCCCACGAGGCCGAACGCCGGGAAGCGGTATACCGCTGCCCCCGTCCCCCGGCGGCGCGCACGTCACCTCACACATCGGGCGATGCGATTAGTCAAACGCGATTGGATGGCGTTTCAAATGCCCATGTTTAGGCCTAAACAAATATAATACTCTAGAAACTGATAAACTTTCATTAAAAATTAATTTATCAATTAAATGACATTGTGAAATAAAAAAAAAACTTTACCACAGTGTCAACTAGCGACATCTGGTGAGCAGAAAATTATTAGCCCTCATTCACGAAACTTGCTTTATTGATGGATAATTAGCTAAAAGTTAATATAAAATTGTAAATTGTGCTTTATCTATCCCATTAGATAGAATCTATAATAAATAAGTTTAATGTTAATAAGTAAATATTTTTTTAAATAATTTGTCTGTATATCTGTCCGAGGTAATCTTCGGAATGGCTGAACCGATTGTAATTAAACTTCACTAAGAGATAGAGAGCAATGTCAGGAGTGATCTAGGCTTATCAAAAAACTTAGATCACTTTCTTTTAAACTGAAAAATTGATAACATGAAGTAAATTGTTTTTGACAATTATCTTTTTATCTAAATAACGCCACATTAAATGATCCCCACCCAAATGAGACCGGGTCACTAGAAGATAATATACATACATAATATGTTACACTTCATCATAATCATCCAATGACTTCTTGCATCTCTTACCAGGAACAGGAACACGGCTGCTATTACATAATTACTACCCCAGTTGTCGGTCCTTCGAGCTATATAGTTTGCTCATTGCCACTTCAGCTTACTGATCCATATATTAAGTATACAAACAAATACTGCATTACTATACACTAGGTACTACACATTTTTGGTGTCTCCCGTTGATTGTTAGTAAAAATACTTGTATTCTTACCGTCATAGGTTTGACAATGGCTACAGTGGTTGCTGGTGGTTCAGGTTCCGGTTTGCTCTCCGTCACCCCAGACGACACATGCCGATGGTTTATATGAGCTTGGAGATCCCTCTGAAATAAACAAAAATTAAATAAGATGTGAAATCGACAGTAAGGTATATTAACCTGTAGTCTATTATGCATTTCTTCAGTTTTTTTATATATAGAAGTATGGGCGACGATGAGGGCTAGTAATCTTGTGGCCCTAGTTGGGACTGAGGAGAACTTATTGTCACACAGATGGTCATGCAGTGTCATCAACGTCATTATCATTAAGTTGCATTTTAAATAAAAGTTTTCAGTTTCTAGTGTACGTATTATGTTGCGGCTAAAAATCAAAGTGCGGTTACACCTGCACACTGTGCGGCCAGCAGTAGTTGATTAAATTTAGGTGTACTGTTAAATTTGCCAAAACAATTACATATCAAGTAATATCAGCGACAGTAGGTTAAAGTGTGGGCCACCCCAAAACCGCAGACATTTATCTCATTTATAAATTATATATGATACACCTAAGTTTAACAAACCGCAATAGGCTGCGCACCTAGTAGTAGTAGTAGTATATATATATATATATATATATATGGAGTGTTCTTTAATTTTTTACACATTATTATTTTTTATTAAATATTAAGGACTGGGTCCATTGGACCCATTAGCGACTCACTAAGTTTAAAAAAAGGTGTAATAGTATGAATTAGGGAATGTAGAGGAAATTACCTGTGATAAGTAAGTTCTCCTGCAGCCAGTGTTTCCATATCTTGTTCCGGAGTGTGTGCACATAAACACTGTTCCTAAACCAGTCTGTTCCACCCGCAACACCTGAATTAAAAAAGTTTTTGTGTTTCATGTTATGGTTATAATTTTTCAAAGCTGTTCAATACACTACATTCGCTGGTCTCACATAATCTAATATAATAAATATTACTATAGTATATCTTCTTTAAAAGAAATTTAAGTATTTACAATGACATTATCAGTCAGCGGGTATTTATATTATAATTTTTTTAACTTTGCTGTGTTTTGGATCATTTTCTACCGACTTCTAAAAGGAGGAGGTACCCAATTCGACTCTATGTTTCTTTTCTACCGACTTTAAAAAGGAGTCGGTACTCAATTCGACTGTATTTTTTTTGTGTGTGTTACCTCATAACTGTTTACTGGGTGAGCCGATTTCAATAATTCTTTTTTTATTTGAAAGCTGGTGCTTCACGTGTGGTCCCATATAAATTTGATCAAGATCTAGCCACTAGTTTTTGAGGTATTCTTAATAATTTATATTGAAGTCGGTTGTACAATTTTTTTTTATTTTAAATTATACCAGATTAGGTTGAAATAAGCATTTATTTTCAATGTTCTTTAAGGTACAATAATACTTATATAATATGTACTATAATAATAATAAGTACTTACTTTCTCTCTACACCGAGGACAGTGTGTGTGGTCTGATCTGGCACAAGATAAACAAAATACATGTTTACATGGAATCTGAAAATAAAATCAACGGTTAAAAGATAACCAAACCAAACCATATAAATTAGTCATTTACTGAATGTATTATCATTTATTGACAGGGTTTAATCCGCTTGATTTTAATATACAAGAGTATTAAAAAGACGGGATATTTATTTATTCTTTATTGTAACACTTTACAACTAAAGTAACATTAATGCCTGTCAGCATTCTCTACCAGTCAACATGCAGCATGGTGAGCTTTTGTAGCAGATGTAAATTCCTTAATGATATTGCTTCTAGCTACCCTCATTTTTCTATTACAATCGAAGAAATGGAACATAATATATTATGTCAAATCAAATTATATCAAATCTCCATATCTTTCTATGGATTAATTTTGCCATAAATTACATCACCTTGTAGTGGTGACGTAAGAGCATTCACTAACCCATACAATCCAGTGGGTGACATAAGAGGCGATAGAGGAAAACTGAAACAGCAGATGGGCAGCAGCATCTTTCTGATAAACATATATTATAATACATTTTCGTAATCATCGGCGTCGACATATTGAGTGACGTGCAGTTTCGTGGTCACTTGAAAGAGAAGGCCAAATTGACCTTTAAAAAGCTTGGCGTGCTCAGCAGAGCGGGACAATATTTCATGCCGGCACAACGCCTGCAACTTTACAAGGCGCAAGTTCGGCCTCACATGGAATACTGTTCCCATCTCTGGGCTGGGGCTCCCCAGTGCCAACTCCTTCCACTTGACCGCATCCTGCACAGAGCGGCTCGAATCGTCGACGACCGAGATCAAAGCGAAAAAGCTGTGATATACCTGATATACCTCTATACTTTGGTGATACACATGCATCGGATGATCAGACAACTGCTGATCTATTTAATGCATTCTTCCATTCTGTATTTGAGCCACCCGGCAATAATGTTATGAACTGCGATACGGAAAATAATAATTGTATAATTAATTCTGTTTACATTGATAATGTTAAAGTATAATAATATTTGAGAATTGTGATATCAATAAAGGTACTGGCCCTGATGGTATTCATCCAATCTTTCTCAGACAATGCAGTAAGCATTTATCAGCTCCTCTATCATTATTCTTTAATATTTCTTTGAGGCAAGGTGTGATGGCCTTGCTTTGGAAACAATCCATTGTTGTTCCCATATTTAAGAGTGTTGACAAACAAACAATATAGCTAACTACCGTGGTATCTCGAAATTATCTGTTATACCCAAGCTATTTGAAAAAATTATACAAGACTCTCTATTTCCTGCAATCAAACCCCAAATAGCTTCAAGTCAGCACGGTTTCATGCCTGGTAGATCCACAGAAACTAACCTATGCGAGTTTCAGGTTGAAACATTGGAGGCCATGGTAAAAGGCTATCAGGTTGACGCCGTGTATACCGATTTTTCAAAAGCATTCGATAAAATTTCGCACAATCTACTGATTGCTAAATTTGTAAACGTCGGTATACACCGCGATCTCTTGAGTTGGTTAACCTCATATCTGTGTGTTAGGTTTCAGGCAGTAACTGTGAAGGGCTATACCTCGAGGTATATCCCTATCACTTCTGATGTGCCTCAGGGTTCTCATCTCGGTCCTCTTCTTTTAAATATATTTATAAACGTTTCATGCGTAGCATTCAACATTCGAAAGCATTACTATACGCTGATGATACTAAATATTTAAATAAAATTAGTTATAATGCTATGTTAATGTTAACTTACCATTCTTCCATATATTAGGATTGGTTTAGAGCAAATATCACAGCAGTAAATCATAGGGTTGAGAACTTTCTCTCCGATCAGAGTAGCTCTGTGGCTCCAATCCAAACGAAGCATAGGCTCTGGCGGACCACGTTGTATTGTAGTGAATACAGGAGCTTCAAGCTGAGATATATCTGATGGTACTTCCACTGTGAAATATATACATTCAAAAGTAAGTAACATGTTGGATTTTTGCAACACTTCTGGAAGAATTGGTTTACACAAATGAAGTCAAAAAAGAAAAAGAATGAAGTAAAGAAATTTACTAAATATTTATTGAATGGGCAGTAATCTAATAGTGAGTTTAAAAGTTGCAAGTTTGAATACCCTAATGTGGTGAACCACTCATAATACAAGCATTTTAGATTATTTGGAGCTAGTTAGTGGGAATATTAGTTGTAAGAGCATTTAGGCATGTCGATCTGAAATCGATTAATTGAAAAGTTAATTATTTAAGTAAAATAATCGATTTTTCAGATTGATTTGGAACGCTACATCGATTCAATGAATCGATCCAAAAACCCTTCAAATCAGACTGATTCCAGATCTAGCGATAAGGTTCCTAAACTGACTGCAGTATCTTAGTTTTTTAACATTTTGCTGTTGTCGAATGCAAAAAAAAAATCAGTCGTATTTGGTTAATAATTTGAACAATAAAAAAATTACTTATGTTTTTTTATAGAATAAGAATCACAAACGAGCACACAGTCCACCTGATGGTAAGTGGATGCTGTGGCTCATAGATATCTTCATTATAATATGCAGATGCGTTGTCACGCCTGAGGACTAAGATCGAATGCCTCGTTTATAGTAAAATAGGTTCACCAGTTCTCTACACTCACCATACAAAACACAGTAGCTTTAAGCTGCTATTTTATGTTGGTGTTCTGTGAGAGCAGTCCTACCCCGGCCGAGCTGACCCATATAGCTCCAGCGTGGCTCTACCACGTATAATATAGGCTTAGCTTTCCATTGACGTCCGTCGAGTTGGGTGTTGATACGTATTTTTACAGAAAAGTTACACTATTATAAGCACACACACGTTTTAAAATGCGGAAAAGCGTAATTTTTGAGAAAAAAAATTTATTGAAAATCAATTATTCTTGCAATGTTTATGTCTAATCCTACCGTAAAACTGGCGCCATTTTGTAATGTCATTGTCTTCGTCAGTAGGGATGTCGATTCTTTCCGAAAAAGGTCGATTTTTAAATCAATTCAAATCGTAAGCTGATCTATTGATTCACAAAAAATTTCTAAAATATCTATATTCTTTTCATGTTTGCATTTATAATGTAAATATAAATCGATTTTATGAAAAACAACAAAGATACCATGATAAATGATCTCTTATTGAAATTTATTTTATTTTAACAGTATATATTAGGACAGATAAAAAATAAAATAGGTTAGGTTCAACTTATGTCAAAGAAACGAATTGATTGACCCCGACTCCACCTGGTACGAGTCTGTCCTACCTTATCCCTATCTGATCAAGAAGTTGCTGTGGCTTTTGATAAACATTTTACTGATGTTCGTTTTTTGACAACAAAATCATTAAATTCTTCTCCTACTGTCACCGAATCATTGCTCAAACAAAATGTAAAGGCTTGTTCAAATACTTTTAAATTCCATAGAGTACTGCCAAAAGATATCGTTAAATATCTTAAAACTATTGATGTTAAGAAAACGGCAGACTTATGGGGGATTTCCGTTAAAGTTATTTTATCTATAATAGATATATTAGCACCTTATCTAGCCACTATATTTAATATAAGCGTCGAATCTGGTGTGTTTTCTGATTTAGTGAAACATAGTAAAGTCATACCTATATTTAAATCTGGTAGTACATTAGACCCCGCCAATTTTAGACCAATTTCTGTACTACCAACATTAAGTAAAATTTTTGAAAAAATTATTTTAGATCAGATGTTAAGTTTCTTTAATATTAATAAATTGCTACATAAAAATCAATTCGGTTTTACAAGGGGTCGCTCGACAACTGACGCTGGAGTTGAGCTTATTAAACATATTTTTTTGTGCATGGGAGAATTCAGAGGATGCTTTGGGTATATTTTGTGACCTTTCCAAGGCCTTCGACTGTGTTCACCATGAGACATTAATCAGGAAGCTATAGTACTATGGTGTCAAGAACACAGCACTTAAACTTATTATTTCATATTTAAGTAATAGAAAGCAGAAGGTTATTATCAATGGTAAAAGTTCTTCCGGGTCACCTGTACTAATGGGTGTTCCTCAGGGCTCGATTCTCGGCCTATTCCTGTTTCTGGTGTATATTAATGACTTACCTCACCTTGTAGGGAGAGTCATGATATAGTATTATTTGCTGATGATACTTCCTTGATTTTTAAACTTAAACGTCAATCATTTAAATGTGACGAAGTGAAGAATGTTATATCAAAATTAGTGCATTCATTTAACGTTAAAAATCTGCATTTGAACGGAAATAAAACTAATTGTGTTAAATTTACAACAACTAATGTTAAAAATCTGAATACCAATGTGTTTTTAAATGGGGAGGAATTGAGCCCTGTTGTATCCACTGTTTTTCTTGCCATCACTCTTGAGGTAAAGCTTCAGTGGGGCGCCCATATATCCAAATTAGCAAGCAGACTAAGTTCTGCAGCCTATGCTGTAAAAAAGATTAGAGGTCTCACTAGTGTTGAGACAGCTAGATTAGTTTATTTCAGTTATTTCCATAGCATAATGTCTTATAGGATTTTGCTATGGGGAAATGCTGCTGATTCAGAAACTATTTTTGTTTTACAGAAGAGGGCCATTAGAGCTGCTTACAATCTAAAATCGAGAGTCTCTTAGAGATAAATTTAAAGAAATAAATATATTAACTTTGGCCTCTCAGTATATTTACGAAAATTTAATGTATGTTCACAAAAAAAAAGATAGTTTTAGTAAAAAAAGTGATATACATTCTGTAAACACTAGGAACAAACACAAGCTAGTGATGCCAGTTTCTCGACTCCACAGAGTCAGTAATTCATTCTTGGGGCAATGTATACGCTATTACAACAAGGTCCCGGAAAGTGTACAGGTTCTCTCTATTACCAAGTTTAAATGTTTTATTAAGCTGAAACTGTATAAAAAGGGTTATTATAATATAAATGAATACATGGTTCATAATAACCCCTGGGAATGAGGTGGTCACTTCCAAGCAGTTTCTAAAATAAATTTTGTAAATAGTTCGTAATCATTTATATTGTAAAATTTATTTAAAAAAAAAGTCCCATTGGGTTTCTTGCTGGTTCTTCCCAGAACAGAAGGTTTTTTTTCGAACCAGACGTAAAGTAAAAAATGACTTTAAATAAGAATTACACATGTAATGTATATTGAATAAAAATTATTTTATTCTATTCTATTATATTCTATACCCCTAGAGTGGATTTATAGAGCCGGAGGCGCGTAGGGGGAGCAGCCACCGCCTGCTGTAACAAATCGTAGGCATCGGGCGAGGAGGGATGCCTGCGATTTGTTACGCTAAGGCGTAGAGGCTGCTCTTCCCGCAGCGCCGGAGACGTAGCAGTCTCAAAATAGATACAGAAATACTTCTGAATCAGTCCCCTTATTTTTTATGATGAAGGGGATTTTTTTCTCATAAAATTTATTTATATTTACATTATGAATGCAAACATGTAAAAAATATAGTTATTTTAGAAATCGATTTTTTGGGAATCGATACATCAGCTTACAATTCGAATTTATTTAAAAAAACGATCTTTTTCGGAAACAATCAACATCCCTACTGACAATCATCATAATCATCATCATTACAGCCTTTCATAAGTCCACTGCTGAACATAGGCCTCCCTCAAGGAATGCCACAAAGCACGGTCCTGAGCCACCTGCATCCATCGACTTCCTGCATGTCTTACCAGGTCGTCACTCCATCTCGTGGGGGGTTGCCCTACACTTCGCCTACCGGTACGAGGCTGCCACTCAAGAACCTTTCTTCCCCATCGGTTGTCGGTTCTTCGAGCTATATGGCCGGCCCACTGCCACTTCAGTTTACTAATCCATTGGGCTATGTCGGTTACTCTGGTTCTACTGCGGATATCCTCATTTCTAAGTTCATCACGCAGAGAAACCCTGAGCATAGCCCACTCCATAGCTCGCTGAGCGACCTTGAGCTTTCTCATACGGCCAGCAGTGAAGGACCACGTCTCAGATCCGTAAGTCATCACTGGCAACACACACTGGTTGTACAATTTCGTTTTAAGGTTTTGAGGTATGTCTGACGAGAAGATGTGTCGTAGTTTCCCGAACGCTGCGCAGCCGAGTTGAATCCGTCGATTGACCTCTCGGTCGAAGTTGGACTTACCTAGTCTGACTATTTGTCCCAGGCATACATACTCGTCAACAACTTCGAGCTTAGTGCTCCCAATAACTACCGGCATAGGTGTGCATGGACATTAAACATGATTTTTGTTTTGTTCATGTTCATCCTAAGACCTATTCGTTGGGAGACACTATTGAGGTCATTGAGCATGGCGCTTAGGTCCTCCAGCGATTCTGCCATAAGGACTATATCTTCGGCAAATCGAAGGTGAGTGATGTACTCGCCATTGATGTTAATACCGTATCCTTTCCAGTCGAGAAGCTTGAAAACGTCTTTCAACGCAGCGGTGAAGATTTTCGGGGATATAACGTCACCCTGTCTTACACCTCTCTGCAATTGGATAGATTTCATACTCTGGTTCTGTACTCGGATAGCCATCGTAGACCTACTGTACAAGCATTTCAGCACTTCGATATACCGACAGTCACCTTGGCACCGTTGAAGGGATTGCAGCAAAATGCGCCCAAATTTCGACGGAATCAAAGGCAAATTGTACTCCACGGACTTCTGTATAATTCGCCGAAGGGTATGTATGTGGTCTATGGTGCTAAAGCTCTTTCGGAAACCGGCTTGTTCGGGAGGATGGAAGTCGTCAAGTCTGCGCGTGAGACGATTCGTTATGACTCTCGAAAACAGCACGTAGACGCGGCTCAGAAGGGAAATCGGTCTGTAGTTCTTCAAGAGAGAGTTGTCACCTTTCTTGAAGAACAAGACCACCGCACTTCTACTCCACGCCTCCGGTGTAATGCCACCATGGAGGACGGAATTAAAGAGCTTCTGAAGGACTTCAAGTACCGGTCTTCCACCCGCTTTCAGAAGCTCCGCTGTAATTCCATCCTCGCCTGGGCTCTTTCCGTTTTTAAGGTGCTGGAGAGCCATTCTAATCTCGCTCAGACTGACGTCTGGGATATCTTCGGAATAGTGTCGGATAAGACTCGCTCTTAAATCGTTACTCACACTTGCGTGTGGCTCCAACGATGACGTGTACAGCTGCCCATAGAACCTCTCAATCTCACTCAAAATCTCAGGTGCCCCGGAAACGATGCTGCCACACTCGGTCTTCAGCCTTGACAGTTGGCTCTTTCTGGCAGACAGATCTCTGGCAAAGACTTTGGAGCCTTGGTTCCGCTCGATCGCTTCTTCAATACAAGCTGTATTGAAGTTGCGTAAGTCCCGCCGCATGCATTTGGAGATCTGTCTGTTCAGTTGCCTGTATGCTGTCAAATTTGTTGAAGAATGTAGCATCTCCCGTCTAACAGCCATGAGATTGAGAGTGTGATCGGAGAGTTTTTGTGTTCTTCTGCGGCGGGTCTTGCAGAACTTAGCTCCGACCGCATGGAAAGTTTCTACGAGCTTGTCATTCATATCGTCCACTTCATTGCAGTCTTCTAGGCACTGAAAACGGTTTTGTAACTCGAGCTGAAAGGTTTCGGGACTTTGGAACAGAGCACGAGGGGAACGGAGCGTTGACTTCATTAGACAAGACCTCTCCAACTTAACGTTTAGGTTCAGTGTGCCTCTAACCATTCGGTGATCCCTATCAGTTTTTACCTTCGCGATCACGGAGACATCACTGAACAGTTGTCGTCTGGTCGTCATAATGAAGTCAATCTCATTTTTTGTGGAACCGTTGGGGCTCGACCAGGTCCACTTCCTGTGGGGCCGCTTCTGGCCCCTTGGGTTCCGTTGCCCTATTCCAAATTTCCTTACCTTCAGCTCACCGTTTTCTCTTGTGCCTAGTTTTGCATTGAAGTCTCCCATTAACACCGTATATTGGGTTTTGGAGGAATGCATGGCTCTAGAGATATCCTCATACATTTCCTCCACCTTCTCATCGGGGTGTGCCGAGGTTGGTGCGTAAACCTGTATGACCTTCAGCGAGTACCGTTTGGTGATTCTGAGTATAAGGTACGCAGCCCTCGCCGACACACTCTCAATATTTAAAACGTTGTTAACGAGAGACTTGTGGACGATAAATCCAACACCTCCTTGGGATAGATGGTCGCTCTCCCAGTGATAGAGCAAGTTGCCGGATTCGCGGATTACCGTGTCCTCCCCCTCTCTTCGGACTTCGGATAATACTATAATATGCCAGCGTAACTAACAATAACAATAAAAATGGTGTCAGTTTTACAGCAGGAATTGGCATAAATATTGCAAAAATAATTGATTTTCAATAATTTTTTTCTCAAAAAGTATGAGTTTCCGCATGTTAAAACTTTGCATGTGTGCTTATAATAACGTAACCTTTCTGTAAAAAAATATCAATCCCCAACTCGACGGACGTCAATGGAAAGTCTTACCATAATATATGTTACTTACTAATAAAAAAAAGTCCTAAACTTACTAAAAAAAACTTGTCATTTTCATTTCTAATCTAACCCATGAATCCCGGCGTCTAACTTAATCTATGCTGTGAGTTTACTTTATTTATCAAATATATATTGGAGTATATATTATATGTTAGTTTATAGTAACGAAATAAACAGTATTGTGTCCGTGTAACATTCATTTCAATATGATTTATCAAGGAATGTATGTTGCAGTTTGCACTTTTGTTAGTGTTGTTGTTCCTATAGGTATTATTAGGCATGTTTGAAAAGGTTGTAAATAATTGAAAATCCATTCGAGTATGTTCTATTTGAATCGAATCGGGGATTGATTTTGTTAAGTGAATTAAAATGCCTAAGAGCACTACTACTATACTTTTAAAAGTATGAGTGTAGTAAATTAAAATTTAAATTATTACTATGAAGTCAAATAATAATTTACGAAAGGAGTAGCTTTGATATATCTAATAATATGAATCTGTTCATAAATGTATGTCAACAATCCGAAAAACAATACAGCTGTTGTGCGTTATTTTTATAAATATGTCAATTATGGTTAGTTAAGATGTGAGTTCTAATACATACACTTTGGGGGCTCAGCAGGCTCAGCTTCTTCTTTAGTTTCCTCTGGTGCAGGTTCTTCAATATCCTGAGTTGTTTCTTCTACAGAACATTCTTCTTCATCCGACGACATAACTTTTGGTACCTTTTTGCCACGGCCGCGACCTCTGCCTCGGCCCCGACCTCTGCCTCTTCCGCGGCCTCTACCCCGCGAATTTCTCTTTTCATTATTCATTTATGAATTTGATTTTCTTTTCAAACATATGATGTTGTCACTTTCTTGGCGGTTACTTATAACCTTTAACGTAATTATAAGGACAATGATGGAAAGTTCTATATTAAAATGAATATAGTAACGGGTATATATAAACAATAAACGCTTGTTTATATAGAAATTCGAAAAGCCAATCAATTTGTGTAATTCAGGTAAAATCTAAACACATTCAGACTAGAGATGGGTAACTCAGGAGAGATAGATACAAAAGATATGAATCAATCCGTTTCCATCAATCACTCTTTATATCCATTCGCATCCGAATATATCACTGTATCAGTGTATCTTTACAAATGATTCACTCAAGGCATCTTTTAACTTTTTCTAACATCTGTGTCGCACATTGCGCACACTGCTTTCTATTATACCTCGCCTGGCACGGCCGGTCATTCCAGGAAGATTTCGGAAAGTCCAAGTGTGTACAGACGTTTCTTTCGCAGCTCACTATTTAGAATGTTCTGTTGCGCTTTAGCAAGATGGAGAGAGTGAGTTGTTTGAACATTATAAACTGTAATGCGTTGGCACAAAAAGGTAAATTGATAACTCTATGACTGGTGCATAGGGCTTAAAGTCATTAAGCGGTACGTTAACTTTTAAGTATTATACTCTTCGATCAACAATACCAACTAGATAACGGGTCACGTACAAAATCATAGCTAAATGCTGTCCGCGTGAATATATACTTATATAGCTACATTTGTTTACTATAGAACTGAGACAAAATTTTTTTGTTGGTATTGTTGATCGAAGATTATACTGGTTTGAACTGTACCTATGTGTACTTTGCCTATAAATTTTTTAGTAAACAATGCAAACTAATTTCAGTTATAAAACCATCGTTTTTAAGAAAGTTTTATAACCGAAATTAGTAGTCGTTTATATCCATAAAAAAAGTAGAAAAAAGATTTGTGATTTACAAAATTAAACAAAGATATCAGTTTGCTTCATTAGTGCAACCTTAACCTCAGTTTGGGAACGAGAGTAATATTGCTTCCGTTAATTGCATCGAATAGAAAAATATAAAATAGATTTTTAGTACACTTAGTGACTGTGTAATTTAAATGTAGGTAAATAAGACATTCAGTGTAAATAGTTTAAAGTGTTTTTGGTCTCTACGTACAGTTAGTGACTGTTTCATTTATTTTAAGTGTAAATAATTTTGCGCAGTTAGTGTTTTATCAATAAAAAAAAAATGGGTTCACGAAAACGAAGCGCAGTGTGGAATCATTTTGAGGAAGTAGAACCAAAAAAAGCAAAATGCCTTTATTGTGCGAACATGCTAAATGTACCCGCTGGAAATTGTGGTAACCTAGGTAGACATTTAAAAAGTAAACACCCCACAGCACGCCTCGTAGCTAAAAGACAGCCAACGCAGCAGGCATGTTTTCAAGATGCCGAAACTATATAATATATATTTTCTACAAATTAATACAAACAATACCTACCCTACCTACGTTATTTACGTTAATCATTAATTTATTTATTATTTTAAACTAAAAATTTAAGTTAATTTTTCGAATAAGTGCCTATTAATATTTATCGATCATAACAATAATAGCGCTCGCTGTAAGTTTCACAGTACGTGAGCAACCCGGGTTCGATCCCCGCCGGCACCAATGAAATTGTTAATTGAAATTTTAAGTGCTGATTTACCACTTGCTCGACGATGAAGGAAAATATCGTGAGGAAACCTGCATGTCTGAAAAATAAGAAAACTTTAATTTTTAAAACATAATAAATAGATACCTAGAAAGAAACAGCAGCCAAATATATCAGAAAGATACACATTGTTACGACCAAGCAAAATGCAAACAGCTCTATAGTTACTTATCTATCATTCTTACTGATAGGAGCCCCACTTGAGCGAAGCGAGCCGCGCTGAGTGAGCAACGCAATGTAATGCAATGCGTGTCGTGAAAGCGAGCTTGATCTACTGATACATAAGGATATAAAGATATAAAAGAGTGATACATATCCAAGTGATCAAAAGATACTTTACAATCTTTTCTTTTAAGTGATACACATTCAGACGTCATGACAATTGCCAAGGACCATCGAGGTTGTTGTAGTTATTATAATTCGACATTTATGGCTAGCAAAGGTCTCCAACCATACAGCCTTGTTCGATTTGTATATTGTTCGTAAAACTATAATATACTAATGCGTCATATTCATTATCACCTTACATACTTACGTATGTATGTTATTACTCTAAGCTTATTTATTATCATTATCGCCAAAACTCCAGACCATAGATTACTAAATTCACGAAATATAAAAAAATATTACGTGATTAAATTATTGCTTTTTTTTTTAAAATGTAACCTTGTTATAACACCAGCACCAGTGAAAGCAATAAAAAACAACACTCCTGCACGGCTAGCATGGGCTGGGGACAAAAATTTTATCCGACAAGAGATAAATTATCTTGTCCTTATGCCAAAGCACGGCAACCGTGAGAAGTATATCCCCGTTTGATATAACGAGTAGACATATATCCCCAGTCCGTAGCATAGAGCAAAATGAAAGATAAAAAAATATATTTTTTGATATTTGAAGGAGACAATTTTATCCTAGTTCATTGGACGTGGGTTTATCTCCCATTTTATCTACTGATACTTTTAGATACAGATATTATATCCATCGATGTGCCCATGCTCGAAGGGTGGATAAAATTAAGCGAGGGGATACACATTTTCTCCTTTCCCCGGGGATTAAATTGTCTTCTGCCTATGCTAGCCCTGCTGAGGTCTAAATGTGAAATACTTACTTACGAAGAAGAAATTTTATTTTATTATGTGGGCATATACTTAATACCTTTGCCCTATAATCTACAATCCCTGCGCCCAGCGGTGGGACGTATATAGTCTGTAACTTTATTTTACTTTATACATATTAATACTTATTGACAACTAACATATTACAAATATGTAGCAAATCTTCCTTTTCGCCAGTAAGTAGTTCGCAGTTTGACATGGAACACTTCTATCGACACTGATTAACCACGAGCTCGGCGGCCAAGGAAAATATTATGAGGAAACCTGCATGTCTATGAAATAAGAAAAAATATTTCGAAGACATGTGAAATTTGCCATCACACATTGGGGAAGCGCGACGGACATCTCTTTGCCCTAAAACCTTTTCAGAAATAAGAGGAGGCCTGTGCTCAGCAGTGGGACGTATATAGACTGTAACTTTACTTTACTTTTCTTCCGCAGATGACGAAGACGACAAACGAAAATAGGACGCTAAACATTTGTAGCTTATTAGAGCATTCGTGCGGAGAGTGCGAAAAGACCTACCTCCAAAAGCAGTACCTGTTAAAGAGTATGCATGACTCATGTGGCACCCATAGATCTCCTCGATCATATTAAAAGGAAGTGGAACATCCGTTATACGTTTAAATTAAAATTAAAATGACGTGGAGTATAATTAATAGTGAAACTGGTAAAGTCAACTCTCAATCAATCAATCTTTCTCAGTCAATTTAAACTACCGGTTAAGTTTTAACAACAAATTAACTGGATCAGATCAGGATGTTGCAATGCTTTTTGAGAAATATTTTACTGATATTAAGATCTTAACCACTAAGTCACTGAATTCTTTTCCTGCCGTCGCCGAGTCATTCCTTAAACAAAATGTAAATGCATGTGTACAAAGAATTTTACATTTAATAAAATAATATCATCAAAAGATATTGTAAAATATTTTAAAAATATTGATATTAAGAAAACTGCAGATCTGTGGGGGATTTCCGTTAAAGTCTTGCGTCTATAATAGATATAATGGAGCCTCAACTAGCTATTATTTTTATACTAGTATCGAATATGGTGTGTTTCCCGATTTAATGAAGCATAGTAAAGTAATACCTTTATTTAAATCTGGTAGTACATTAGACCCCGCCGATTTTAGACCAATTTCTGTATTGCCACAATTAGTAAAATTTTTGAAAAAAATATTTTTGATCAAATATAATTTTTTTTTAAGATAAATAATGTACTTCATAAAAGTCAATTCGGTTTCACAAGGAGTCGCTCGACAACTGATGCTGGTGTTGAGATGATTAAATATATTTTCAACGCATGGGAGAATTCACAGGATACTTTGGGTATATTCTGTGACCTATCCAAGGCCTTCGATCGTGTTCACCATGAAACATTAATCAGGAAACCACAACACTACGGTGTAAGAAGTAATGCTCTTAAATTAATTGTTTCATGTTTAAGTAAGAGAACGCAAACTGTTATCATTAATAGGATGAGCTCTTCCGGGTCGATAGCACAAATGGGCGTGCCTTAAGGCTCAATTCTGGGTCCCTTTCTGTTGCTTGTATACATTAATGACTTACCATACATAGTAGGGGATAACCATAATATTGTATTATTTGCTGATGGCACTTCATTAATTTTCAAATTAAAACGACAATTATTAAAATATGATGAAGTAAATAATGTTATATCTAAATTATTAAATTGGTTTAATGTTAATAACTTGCATTTAAATGGCACTAAAACGAAATATATGATATTTATGACTCCAAATATCAAACATTTAAATAATAATGTGATATTAAATGGGGAGGAACTGAGTTTTGTTGATACCACCATTTTTCTTGGAATAACACTAGACGCGAAGGTTCAATGGAGCCCCCATATATCAAAATTAGCAAACAGACTTAGTTCAGCAGCATATGCTGTAAAAAGTACTAGAAACTTACCAGTGTGGAAACAGCTAGACTTGTTTATTTCGGCTATTTCCATAGCATAATGTCGTATGGTATTTTGGTGTGGGGACACGCGACTGATAAGAGCAATCTTTGATTTAAAACCTAAAGAGTCGCTCCGACAAAAATTTAAGGATATTAATATATTAACTTTGGCCTTTCTATACATTTATGAAAATGTAATGTACGTACACAAAAATAAAAGTAGTTATACAAAATAAGTGATATTCATTCTGTAAATACTAGGAACATACAAAAGCTGGTAGTACCAGTTACTCGACTCCACCGAGTCAGTTTTATAAATATGTATGTATTCTTACATATAAGTTTACGTGTATATGTATGTGTGTATGTATATATGTATTTGTGTGTTTATGTGTATGTGTATATATAATATTGTGTATTTTATTATTGCATTATATCATATACTATATATACCTTATACTATTAATATGTATATACTTGTTTATCTACTATTTATGCACACTTCTATATACTTAAATGAAAATTATCTCCTTCACCAAATTTGCCAGGTATAGATCGCTGTTTAGCGATAAAGCCACCTAATTGTACATACATTTGTAAAGTTAAGTTTGTTGTGCTGTGTAGTATTTTGTGTGCAATAAAGAGTGTAAATAAACAAAAAATAATTCATTCTTGGGGCGATGTATATGCTTTTACAACAAAATCCCAGAAAATATACAAAATTTGACCTGCTCAAAGTTCAAAAACAATATTAAACAGTTTGTATAAAAGAGTTATTATAACATTAAGGAATTTATGGATGATAATAACATCTGGGAATGAGCTGATCGCTACCAAGCTATTTCTAATTTGTTTTGTGTGGTTAATTGTGTAACATGCATGATTGTAAGTTGTTATTTTAAAAAAACTCCCGCTGTGTTCTTGCTGTTGCTTGTTCTTCCCAGGACAAAGTTTTTCCGAATCAGTGGTAATTAGACAAAAGAGTGACTTTCAATAAGTATTATTTATAATCTATATTGAATAAAAAGTTTGTTTCCGTTTCTGTTACGACGCCGCGCCAAGTATTTTTTTTAAGCGACTATGACATACCCCAAGTCCGACACGCAACATACCTACAACATACTGAATACACCTGTAAGTTCCTATTTTATTTCATCGGCCCCATTTACATTTCACTATTAAAAAACTTTAAAATGTAGAGCTAAATGTCATGTTTACAAATACTTATTTATAATAATCATATTATAAAATAGTTACACCACAAGTTTACATAGCTTGATGTTATACTGGAGTGACCATTCCATGTTCTTTTGTCATGAAATTATTTAATTATTAAATTAATTAATCGGTGAATACGGTGCTTGGTCGAGAACTTTTGTTGAATTTTTCGCTAAAAACTCTTTCACTATAATGGCTGTGTGTGTGATGGTGCATTATCATGGTGCAGCATTCATGAGTTGTGTTGCCACAAATCTGGACTTTTTCGGGGGATACTCTCACGCAAACGCTTCATGACGCCTAAATAATATTCTTTATTCACTGTTTCTCCCTTTGGAAGGAATTCGGAGTGAACCACACCACGGTAGTAAAAAAAAACTGTCAGCATCACCTTGATTTTGGAGCGACTTTGCCGCGGTTTTTTGGGTTTCGGCTCGTTTTCGAGACGCCATTCTGAAGACTGTTGGCTTGTTTGCATGTCGTACTCATAAACCCATGTCTCGTCGCCAGTTATTATACGTTTTATAAAGGTCGGATCCGTAGAAGCTCGGGAAACCATGTCTTCAGCGACATGCTTTCGCTGCGCTCTTTGAACAAAATTGAGTTCTTTTGGAACTAGTCGAGCGGCGACGCGTTTCATGCCTAAAATGTCAATGAGAATGTTGTGGACGGACTTAAAAGATATGTTCACCTCACTAGCCAACTCTCTCAGACTCATACGTCGATTTTCGAGCACTAGCTTCTTGATTTTGTCGATGTTTTCTTTGGTCGTAGCGGTTGAAGGTCTACCAGAACGAGGCAAGTCTACTACTACTTCTCGGCCTTCTTTAAAAGCCTTATACCATTCATAAGCCCTTGTTTTCGATATACACGATTCGCCGTAGATCTTTCGCAACATTTTTAGTGATTCACCACATGAAATATCATTCGAAACACAAAATTTAAGGCACACTCTTTGTTCAACAATATTTTCCATTGTAAAAATCGCCGAGAACTCAAAACTATGACCAACAAAAAGTGTAGTTTAAAACAAATTAAATGACAGATCCCGCTCAAACTTTGCGCGCTAAATCAGTACAGTGCTACAGCGCTAAAGCAGTATAGTGCAACATGCAGTAAAAGAATTAGAACGACCTCTTTTACGCGGGTCTTTTTATTGACATATTCCCGATACTTTTTACACAGAGTTGTATATCTTATTGGAAATGTTAAAAATTAATTAGCTAAGTTTTTCCTTAATTGCATACAATAACCCCATCACCAAACACCTCCACACTAGGAAAGATACACCACCGTCGACACGTGTTTCACTAAATGAGGCATCATACAGGGGAAATAGACTCGGCGATAACTGAACATATTCTTGAAAAGGCCTGTACTTACTGCTGGCCATGCATTTAAAGACACGGCTACTGCTCGTGATTAAAATAGAATTCCAAACTAGTTTTTTTTAAAAATGATAGACATTAACTTGATCTCAGTATTTTGTGGCCGTTCCATTGTTTTAAAAACAAATGTATTTATTTCATTGTTGTATAATGATTTATTTGTTCTGTCGTCTTTCCGGATGAGGTCAATGTCATTGGCCCCTATTTCGAGTAGGTAGCATTTTAATTCCAGCAAAAATGTTTCTCAAGTTGTCGTTTCAATTTAAATTCGAAAGTAAAGTCGCGATTATCATATCATCTTTTACTCGTATTCCTAATTTGATGAGTTCCTTCCTCTTCCTGAGGAAAACAAGTTTTTCAAAGAATAAAAAGTTGCTGTATTATACAGTAAAAATAAACTTAAACCTTTAAACTTAACCTAATTTTATTAACAACAAGCTGCTCCACGCGATTTCGTCGTGGAATTTATTACGGTTGGATTTGATGGCCTTTGATATTTTTTGCACGGAATTTTAAATGTTTTTTTAAAATAAAAGTACCTTAAGTTACTCCTTATAACATCAGCTATCTGCTAGTGAAAGTCCCGTGAAAATCGGTCCAGCCGTTTAGGAGATTAGCCGGAACAAACAGACAGACAGACAGACAAAAATTTTAAACATTATATTTTAGTTATAAGTACCTTATTTACTTTCATATGCATTTAGTAAAAACCTGTAATTTTGTCATTACAAACAGACACTTCAATTTTATTTATTTGTATAGACTAGCTGTAATTTAGGGTTTTAACTATGTTGCGCGGAACCCTATTATTTTTTCTAAAAATATAAGTAGCCTAAGTTACTCCCTATAACATCAGCTATCTGCCAGTAAAAGTCCCATCGAAATTGGTCCAGCCGTTTCGGAGATTAGCCGGAACACACAGACAGACGGACAGACAGACAACAATGTTAAAAATTGTGTTTTTGTTATAAGTACTGTATATACTTTCATATGCAGTTAGTAAAAAGCTGTTATTTTGACATTACAAACACACACTTCAATTTTATTTATTTGTATAGAATACTATAATAGAATCTTCGGAATGGCTCAACCGATTGTGCTGAAACTTTACGAACAGATAGAAAGCAAGAACAGGAGGAATTTAGGCTATATTAAAAACAAAAAATTGATAAAATAAATGGTCTTTGACTATCTTAAATCTAAATGACCCGGCAGAGCCGACACGGGTCGCTGATTGTTTACTCAGTTTAATTATTAAAAAATAATTCTTCTTGTGATATCGTAGAAAAGGAAACGTAATTTTAAATTTGTTGTGATAATGGACAAAAATCAAAACAGATTTCAAAATATAGTTGTCTTTTTAAATTTAGCCACATCTCAAATTCTGTTTCTGCCACTCAAGCCTTCATAGGAGAAACTTAAATCCTGAATTGTCTACAGCATTACGCTATTACTTCTCTATGCTATATGAGGGTCGACTCCTATACGAGCACCAACAGTATCTATTCGCAGCAGGGTACAGACATGTCAATTAGTTGATTCAACAAGTAAAACTGATATTATCAATTTAAATTTTTTGTTTAGGGCCGACTATTATACGAGCACCAACAGTATCTATTCGCAGCAGGGTACAGACATATCAATTAGTTGATTCAACAAGTAAAACAGATATCAACAATTTAACTTCTTTGTTTAGGGTCGACTCCTATACGAACACAAACAGTATCTATTCGCAGCACGGTACAGACACGTTAATTAGTTGATTTAAAAATTTAGACGGATATCATCAATTTAAATTCTTTGTTTAGGGTCGACTCCTATACGAGCACCAACAGTATCTATTCGCAGCACGGTACAGACACATTAATTAGTTGATTCAACAAGTAAAACAGATATCAACAATTTAACTTCTTTGTTTAGGGTCGACTCCTATACGAGAACAAACAGTATCTATTCGCAGCACGGTACAGACACGTCAATTAGTTGATTTAAAAATTTAGACAGATATCATCAATTTAACTTCTTTGTTTAGGGTCGACTCCTATACGAGCACAAACAGTATCTATTCGCAGCACGGTACAGACACGTCAATTAGTTGATTCGACAAGTAAGACAGATATCATCAATTTAAATTCTTTGTTTAGGGTCGACTCCTATACGAGCACCAACAGTATCTATTCGCAGCACGGTACAGACACATTAATTAGTTGATTCAACAAGTAAAACTGATATTATCAATTTAAATTCTTTGTTTAGGGTCGACTATTACACGAGCACCAACAGTATCTATTCGCAGCACGGTACAGACACGATTATTAGTTGATCCAGCAAGTAAAACAGATATCAACAATTTAACTTCTTTGTTTAGGGTAGACTCCTATATGAGCACCAACAGTACCTATTCGCAGCACGGTACATACACGTTAATTAGTTGATTCAACAAGTAAAACAGATATCATCAATTTAACTTCTTTGTTTTACACCTGATCACGCATTACACGCATTGTGTACGTATGTGTCATAGTTGTCATGTTTGATCGACGATCGATCGGATATATAATAAGTCCTTCAACTAAATAACTCTCAACATTATAGTTATTATTTATTGTTAAACATAAAGAGGCTTCAAGTAGCCTGGCTTAGACCTATCTTTATAGCTTTAATTATTTCATTACTGTGAGTCTTAGTGCACATCATTCTATCTAGAGATATTCTCACATTATAATAATAATAATGTCCTCCAGATCGAATTTCGGTCACGGCGGCCAACCTCAACGGAGGACAGGATTATAGTGTCCAAGTGTATACGCAAGTACAGGTGCTCTCTATTCTCTCACTCTCATAGTTCGATTGGATGGTATTCCGACACGATCGGAGAGAGATCAGGCGCAGTACAACGGCTTTACATGCTTTTGTTGGGTGAGACATCGCCAACTTCCTGACTCCGGGCATCTGCTGAGAATTTCTTGATAGAAAAGCTCAATAACAAATTGTTTTAGCCCGACCTGGGATTTGAACCCAGGACCACATGATCAGTAGTCGCACTACTACAACCACTAGACCAACGAGGCAGTCCTCCCACACAATATTTATATAGGAAAAGAAGAAGGATAAAGTCCTAGTAGCAAAGACACTTTGGGAACACCCATTTCGTAATAGTGCTTTGACTATACCGGAGTGGCATCAAAACGAGCTGTATTGAGTGAGCGCCGCATATATTATTTTTAAGCGATGATTGTGATATAGAGAGGGAGCGTAGAGCGCTGACAGTTAGGAGCAATATGCTTGCCCGCAGGTTTGCTCCATGTACAGAGGACGTAAAAGTCTCTCTTTTCAAAAAATTTTGCCGATCTTTTTATTCGAGTAGCCTGTGGGTATCATACAGGCGACGAGCTTACAGCGCCCTTCGCATTTAATACAATAACGCGTTTAGAATGTTGTTGGGACTGCCATGGCGCTGTAGTGCTTCGAAAATATTCGCGGATGCTAGGACTGATGGATTTCATGCTGTTATGCGAAAGAAATGAACCTCGATGTTACAGCGTCTGCAAAACAACAACACAACAACATTACATAGCACAACAAGTAACAACAGCATTTTAAAAATGATCGCGGCGAGACCAGCCGGGCTATTCACAATCGTCTCGGAAAGCGAAATCGACCGGATTCGATAACTTCTCGCACCGAAACCAATAAACGCTATTATAACTCCAAAATATTGCATTATGTTTTTGTTCAGGCGTTACTCTAAAAAAATACAAAAGCCTATTTATCTACCAAATTCGTAAATGCAGGTAACTAAATGACGATACAATAGTTATAGGATGTGTCTAAGTCACCTTTATCCGAACGTTAAATGTGAATAGCGTATATTGGTTTCGGTGCGAGAAGTTATCGAATCCGAGTCGATTTCGCTTTCCGAGACGATTGTGAATAGCCCGGCAGATTGCCACTTATATATATAATGTAGGCATAAATACAAAAATTACTAACATAGTTATTAAGTAAAATTGTTACTAATATACTTACACTTAATATGGACTAATTATGTCTGAAATAAAGTTATATTATTATTATTATTATATTATTTTTTATATTCTACTAAGCCAGCGCTTATCTACGATCCCACCTGATGGTAAGTGGTGATGTAGCCTAAGATGGTGAAGCGCACTGTCTTATCAAAAGCCTATTCACTTTTAGCCTTGAAAACACCTACACTGTAATCGGATGGAAAGACAGATGCTGGCAACGTATTCCACTCCTTTGCTGTACGCAAGATGAACGACGTAACGAACCGTTTTTTTTATAGGATCGGGTGACAAACGAGCACACAGTCCACCCGATGGTAAGTGGTTGCTGTGGCCCATAGACATCTACATTTATCCTCGTTTGCGAATCAAAATGCAGATGCGTTGTCACCCGTGAGGACTAAGATGGAATGCCTCTTTTCCAGTAAAAAGGGTCTCCGGTTCTCTACACTCACCATACGAAACACAGCAGTGTTAAGCTGCTATTTTACGCTGGTATTCTGTGAGAGCGTGGTCCTTCCCCGGTCGAGCCGACCCATTCGTGCTACAACTATACTACT